GGAAGTACCCAGGGATCGGGGTGTGTATTCTCAAAACTCGGTTATGTAGGGTGGAGTACCCAGGGATCGGGCGTGTATCCTCAAAACTCAGTTATGTAGGGTGGAGTACCCGCGTGTGTCCTCAAAACTCGGATATTAGGGGTGAAGTACCCAGAGCCGGGCAGTGCCTAAAACTTGATATTACCGGGAGAGTGGCCCAGTGGCTGAGAAAGGCTATCAACACTCGGTTATATAATGAACCATAGGTTATAGTGGGAAAGCTAAACAATAGGTCGGTTATGGGGAAAGTCAAGGACTAAGTCTACCATTATTTTATTGATTTGATCAAATGACCTACGAATCAGATATTTTCCAAGTGTATATATTTCTATGTATTCCAAAGACTTGGGGAAGATTATAAACCTATGTATCACCCTATCTTTGGATCTCATACTTGAAACATTAGTTATTCTACATTTAGCCCGCTACTCGCTCGGTATTCGAGTACTAATCCCTTCGGGGGGCCACCACTTCAAGTTGAAGATAAAGCTTACCATCCGCACCTTTGCTCGGTGAGATAATCTCAAGGAAGACGTGGTTCGTGCTTTCTTTACTATTTTGAAATTATAAACTATGCTCATGGATATTTTCTAACAAATACATTGTTTTGGATCTGCAAGCCCACGTTTTGCCATATGTGGCCCATGATTGATTATTGAATATTTCCTCTACTCATTCAATCTATGCCTTTCCATCGTCTTGAGAATTGATAACTGCATATACCGCTGTTTCCACGTTCTTTGGGATGATTCCAAGGAACGTTTCTCAATGGTTGATGGGCCATATATACATCAATTGAAAGTGTATGCTTTCAATTGAATATTTATATTTAAACAGAAGCACTGTCACATTTTAAATGTTCCATGTGCTTTGCGTTTCCAAGGCCAATTACCCATCACTTTTGGGGGGGAATGTGTGTTTGACGGCTGGATACCTGATTAATCGTACCCCGTCACATTTGCTCCAAAATAAAACTCCCTTTGAAATTTTATACAACACTCTGCTGTCTTGTGATAATTTTGAGGGTGTTCGGTTGCTTGTGTTATGCTCATAATCACCGGGCGAAAGGGAATAAATTTTTGAGCCACAGTCGTAAATGTGTTTTTCTTGGTTATCCTTTTGGTCAAAAGTGATGGAGACTTTATGATCTAGACTCTAGAAATTTTTTTGTCTCTAGAGATGTTATTTTTTGTGAAGATATATTTCCGTTTGGTGCACCGGATAACACTGCTGCTTCACATGCGAACCTTACTGATGATTCATTTGTTATGCCATTTGATATGTTTTTCTATACACCGGAGGATGTGCCACCTGTTATTTCCGCAGCAGCACTATAGTCTGACTCCCATGCTCCTGATTCACCACCTACACATTACCCCCCTTCTGCATTAACTGATTCACGTGCATCAGAAGTTTCTTGCGGTTGTCACTACAGGAACCGAACCACAGACTTTTCCCGACGCTATGAAAGATGATTGTTGGCGTCGTTCCATGCAGTCTGAGATCAAGGCCCTTGAAGATAATGGTACCTGGTCTTTAGAATCCTTGCCGTCAAGTATGCACACATTGGGCAGCCATTGGGTCTACAAAATTAAATATCAATCTGACAAGAGTGTTGAGCGTCTCAAGGCGCGTTTGGTGATTCTTGGCAATCATCAGATTGAAGTAATTGACTACAACGAACATTTGTTCCCGTTGCTGAAATGGTAACTGTTCGTGCATTCTTGGTTGTCGCTATTGCGAAACAATGGGAGCTGCATCAAATGGATGTGCATAATGTTTTTCTTCATGGTGATTTGCATGAAGAAGTTTACATGAAGTTTCCTCCCAGTTTTCGCTCTCCTTCTCCTTGTAAGGTTTGTTGTTTATGCAAATCTCTTTATGGTTTGAAACAGGCTCCTCGATGTTGGTTTGCTAAATTGGTGGGCGCCCTCAAAGCTTATGAGTTTCTTCAATGTTATGCTGACTGTTCTTTATTCACCTACACTCAGGATGTTGTTCAAATTAATGTTTTAATTTATGTGGATGATTTACTTATTTCTGGTAATCATTCGGCGGAACTATCTCGTTTCAAGGAATATTTGCATTCTTGTTTTCATATGAAGGATTTGGTAGTCTTGAAATAATTTTTGGGGATTGAGATTGCTCGTAGTCCTGGACTATTTCTTAGACAAAGAAAATATATTCTTGATAGTATTTCTGGTTCTGGACTCTTAGGCGCTAAACCTGCGACTTTTCCCATTGAGCAGCATCACTTTTTGGCTCTTGCTACTCGCGATTTTCTTTCTGATCCGGAACCTTATCGTCATTTAGTGGGCCGACTTATTTATCTGGCGGTTACTCATCCTGATTTGTCTTATTGAATCCACATTTTGTCCCAATTTATGACTCAACCCCGAACGGATCATTGGGTAGATGCATTGTGTGTGGTCCGATACTTAAATGGTACACCTGGCCAAGAAATTTTGCTTTGTGCTGATAGTAGGCTATCATTGACTGGATGGTGTGATTCTGACTGGGCTGCCCGTCCTCTTACTCTTCATTCTATTTCTGGATGGGTGGTGATTATGATGACAAAAGTTTAACAAAACGCATATATGGAGTAATTTAGATTTTGATTACAATTATCCTTTGAAAAAGATTCAATTACAATTATGTTTAAGAATCTAAAATAACATATATGGAGTAATTTAGATTTTGATTTTTAAGTATCTGCATGACGGGTAGAACGTCTTAGGGTTTACGCGGCTCGCCTCCCCCATGCATCCTACGGCTCTTGTAGGTTCATCTATTTTTTCTCTCTAGGGCGTTCCATCGCCGCTAGAGCTTTATTCCTCCACTATCAGTTTCGATCAAGGAGCGGTAGTGACGATTGCCGAGGCTTGCTAAGAGGATTGCGCAGGGGTTGCCTTATTCCATCGGGTTCTACGCTTCGACTATGTGAGTTTGTTCTGTGCGAGACAGCGAAGGGGCGATCGGCGGGAGATTTAGCACGGAAGAAATGAAAGGAGTTTGGCAGGAGACGATCGGCCTTGTGTGCTTTCTTGGTGCAAGACTTCATCGACGTTTCAATGAGGTGGAACAGATGAAGGTTGCTCGGCAGGAAACCAACCGTGCGACGGATGGGAGCAGAGCCTTTTGCGTTAGGGTTTGGAGCCGTGTCTTGTTAGTGTCAACAATCATAGCGATGGTCCGGCCTCCTCTTGAACCACCGCCAGGGTTTGAACGAGGTGTTAAGGTTCATCAAATTTATTTTTTCGATGTGTTAGCTTTTTATGGTGTTGAGTACTATGCTTATTTTTAGTTCTTTATTGTTTTGTGTTGTAAGACTTTGAGTTTGGATTTGGATGACAGGAGGTTCGTGCTTTCCATCTTTGGCTCAGTTGTGCCCATAAATGGATCAACGAGTTATATTGCTTCTTTTTAGGTGGTTAACTCTGAGTCTTTTTGTCTTTTTAGCCCTTATCTAAATGATGTGATATCAATATAAAACACCTTTTCTCAAAAAAAGTATCTGCATGACATTTTAATTTGCAAGTGTTAACCATCTCAATAAGTTATCAATTGAAATAATTTGAATTGTAAACTCTTTTCACTAATCACTAACTCTTTCAAGAATCTATGGATATTATTACTAAGATTGAATGTGATGAATTTCGGATTGAAAATGTTTGAATTGACGGAATATATTGAATTATACAAAAATTGATGTTTAAAATATATTTTCTTAGTAAAATAAAGAAAAGTTGTTCGGTAGAAATACATAAGATGATCCACTATAGTATTTGCAACCAAAGAACTAATTTCAACCTTATTTTTTATTACACAATTCAGCACGTGAAATCAAATCAAAAGATATGTGAAAAATTGTATGATAAAGTTTATTTTTCCGAAAAAAAAGAAAGTTATCAAACGACTCTAAAAAACAATAAAAAGTTTTGACTATAATAGAATCACATAAGTTCGTTAATACATCAACAGTCACACTACATTAAAATACACATGAATCATGCATTTAGCAAATCAAATCAGACCAGAAAAGAAAATTTCAATTCAATTAAAAACATCTCAACTTGATAAAAAAAACATTCAACCGAATATTCATGATGTGTACCCAAAAGTTAAAGTATTCATGAAGACGAATATCAAATTGATAAAAAAAAATCATGAAGACGAATATTCATGAAGACCCCAAAGTTAAATTATTAAATTGATAATTTTTAATAAGTATGATGTGTACTGTTAAGACCTGAGGTTCCATCCTAAAAGGTCAACCTGATAGGAGGAGTAACCCAAAGTCTTATATAGTGTTTTATTGTTTTGAAGCTTTCCGGTGTGGGATAAATACTTCAACATGTACCCAAAAGTTAAAATATTCATGAAGACGAATATCAAATTGATAAGTAAAAAAAATCAACCGAATGTGCTAAAATATACGATACTACTTGATTGACCATATCACTCATATGGCATACTCAACAATAGGTAGTTCCAGTTACAAGTTTCCACTTTCCAGTAGGCCTGGGACCGGTTCACTTCTTAGGCCAAATATGTGGAACCGTTTGAAAATATGAAATTTTACTAACGGTTCGGTTCTTATAAATTATTTTATAGTTACGATAAGGAACCGAACCGTTCATAACGGTTCAGTTCTTATCATTTAACGGTTCCTAGTCTTCGAAAAAATTCTTACAAATCATGACTAAATTTTTGCTAAAAAGACATTCTACGTTTGAAATTACGATACAAATATGCTTAAACAGTTAAAGAGAATAATAATTTTAAATACTTGGACCCTCAAAGTTCCGACCCACTGGAGTTTGGACCTAATGATAGGCCTAAGAAGCCTAAGAGAACCGGTTGAAGTGAATAATAGTTTTAAATAGTTGAATAACTAAACAAAAATAATGAATGTAATATAAAAATAAGTAAGTAAATATACATTAAAATATATATGCTCATAAGAAATATATATAATTTTAATTATTATATATAACAGTTTCTTAACGGTTCCTAGTACATATTTTTTTCAGGAACCGAGAACCGAACTATTAATAAAAAATAGGAACCGAACCGTTAAAAAATAACTAATAAATGTTGGAACCGAACCAAACCAGGTCATAACGGTTCGGTCCGGTCCGGTTCTCCGGTTCTTGGTTCCCAAGTCCCAGCCCTACTTTCCAGAATTAGGGCCTGGTAGTTGTCTTTCAATAGCCAAGTCGGTTAGTTGCCCCCGGCGCCTTCTTACATCCGCCCTGACCGATGCGTATATATATAATAACCCATCTGTAATAAGATTTACTTTTCCGCACTTGTCTTTTGTTTCACAAACACAAAAACAACATGAACGGTTCAGACGACGGGGAAGACATCGACGCGCCGCCCTCTCTGTGCGAGACCGGGTGCGGCTACTTCGGAACGGCTGCGGCCAAAGGGATCTGCTCCATGTGCTACAGAGACCATCTTGCGAAGGAAGCGGAGGCCAAGACTGCGATGGAAAAGATCACATTGATGGCGCTGCCAAACCTGAGAATCAGAGTCCGTCCATCGCCAGATTCCGCCGGCGACGGGTCGCCTCCTCCGGCGCCGCGCGCGGCGGATAGATGCTGGAAGTGCCAGAAGAAGGTGGGGGTGATGGGTTTCAAGTGCCGGTGCGGGTATGCTTACTGCGGGTCCCACAGACTCCCCGAGGTGCACGACTGTTCCTTCGATTTCAAGGGCCAGGGCCGGCGTGTTCTTGCCATGGTCAATCCTGCGGTCAAGCCCGAGAAAATCTTGAGGTTTTGATGGACCCAGATCCTCTGCAACTGCTGCCTGGAGATGGAAGAAGAGAAACAGGGGATTCTGCAGGGCTCCCAATGAACAGATTTGATTTCTCAATTCCCTATCTCTTTTCTCCGAACTAATTTCTCCACTATTACATTCCTGCAACTTTTATTGTTTATTACGTTTAGGTTTTTTTTTGGATTGAATTGCGTTTAGGCTTTTTTTTTTGGATTGAATTGCGTTTAGGCTTTTTTTTTGGATTGAATTGCGTTTAGGCTTTAGAAACAATTTCTTGATTGGAGTAGAAGATAGACAAATTCTCAAATAGGATCATCTATTTTGCCTTCCCAAAATATGATTGCTTTACTCTTAAAAATGGGAAGCTTTGTGCTTGAATTAGTCCTGTTTGTGAATTTTGTCTATTTCTTACTCTTATTTGGGACAATATCTTTAGGCTATTTTATACTTTTATTCATGCATTTTTGTGTCTTTCAATTCAATTTTTTTTGTTTGTTTCTTAAACAATGTGATTGATTTACTCTTTTAGGCTTTAGAAACAATTTCTTGATAGGAGTAGAAGATAGACAAATTCTCAAATACGATCATCTTTTTTGTCTTCCCAAAATATGATTGCTTTACTCTTAAAAATGGGAAGCTTTATTCTTGAATTAGTCCTGTTTGTGAATTTTGTCTATTTCTTACTCTTATTTGGGACAATAACTTTAGGCTATTTTATATTTTTATTCATGCATCGTGATCAAAAAAATATTTTTATTCATGCATTTATATTTCTTTCAATTCAATTTTTTTTGGTTTGTTTCTAAAACAATGTTAGGTATTATTAAATATTTTCTATGTCTTTCAATGGTTTTTAAAGTTTCTAAAACAATATTAGGTGTGAAATATGTAGTATATATATTAGTTATATATACTACATATATCTTGGTTAAAGGGGTGATAGATACCCACGTAAAAATTACTCACACTCTCCCGGAAAGGTTCGCCAAATTGATTTTTCTTGGTCAACGAAAATCAACTTTGACCAATGATATATTTTAATACAAAATTATTTTGAATATGAAAATTATATCAAAATGTTCCTTATTCAAAATATTTTCATAAAAGTATAAAATTTAAAAATTATATACAAATATAATAGGTCGGCACCGTTTGGGGCGATTCTAGGTGGAATTATTTTATGAAATGTTTTGAGCATGTTCTTCACCAAGTCTAGTTTATCCATACTGAATTTCGGCTTAAAATTCAACCGGGAAGGCAGTCAAATAAATTTTTGAAAATAATTGTGTTTTGTAAATATATTTTTGCGCAGTTAGCTTCAAAAACTTATTTGAATGCCTTTCCGATTGAACTTTAAACTTACATTTGGTTTGGGTAAACTAGATTTGATGAAGAATATGGTCAAGAATTTTCATTAAAAATCCACCGGAAATAAGGAGATTCCCAGGGTACCTTAAGTGAGGGAGGTATATGAGGGCTCGGTTGGCTAGTGTTGGAAATACATTTGAAGAGAGAAATATTTTCAACAAATACAATGTGTCGAGAGATAAAAATATGATAGGTGACAAGATCAAGACAAATATAGGCACTTTGAGTGAGGGAGTAGGCCATAAATATGCAGGCAATGGAGCGATGTAATTTGTATTTAGTATAAGGCTGCACCCAAGAGTAACATAGACACTCAAAAGTACGAATTTTAGTATAGTTGGTTTCTATGTCTTTGAATGGTTTCTAAAGTTTCTAGAACAATATTAGGTATAAAATATGTAGTATATACTACGTATTAGTTAAAGGGGTGATAGATGCCCACATGAAAATTACTTGATTCAGCATTATTGCGTGCATTGAAAAGAATCTGTTTAAACATTGACCTAAAACTTCTCTAGCTTAGGCTTATGCTGTAACACTTGAAATTACGGAAGTGTATCATATATATGGAGTTAGAATTAGGGGATGAGATCAAATAACTAACTGGATAATATGACTAATGAATAAATACGATATATAATTGTTAAGATAATTACGAAGGATTGTCTCTTATAATGCCCCCACAAGATGGAGGTGCGGGAGAGAACTCCAATGCATGTAACTCTTGAAACCGCCCGTGAGGAAGTGGTTTAGTAAAAGAGTCTGCTAGTTGATCTTCAGCTCTGATCATGTAACACTTGGTATTATGGAAGTGAATTGTATATTTACACTTGGGTGTGCTCATATATGTATATATATTTTTCGTGAACATGTTAATATATACTAGTCACATATATATATATGAGCATCATAATTTTTCGTCCAGACGCCATCATTTGGGGCGGTTCTCGGTGGTTTTTTATATGAAATGTTTTGAGCATGTTCTTCACCAAGTCAAGTTTATCTACACCGAATTTCATCTTAAAATTCAACCGGGAAGGCAGTCAAATAAATTTTTGAGAATAACTGTGTTTTGTAAATATATTTTTTGCGCAGTTATCTTTAAAAACTTTTTTGACTGCCTTTTCGATTGAGTTAAACTCACATTTTGTGTGGATAAACTAGACTTGATGAATAACATGCTCAAAAAAATTCATTAAAAAATTCCTTCGGAAACCACCTCAAACGAACGCGGCCGGATGGAAGGTCCTCGGCGGGACAGGATGATTCCTCCTATATATATACACTAGATAATTGTGAAGGATAATTATGAAGATTATCTCTTATCATATGCAACTTCTAAAACATGTTAAATCTATGGAAAATAACTTTTTCATAAACTTTTTTGAACAGTGATGAGATATGATCATAATATATTGATTTATTTTGAAACTATTTCTTTGAAGTCATGAGAAGATGGCATCTACCAAAATATTTTCAAATGGCTCTACCTTTTGGTATTATGTTTTCAATTTATGTCTCAAGCTCATATTTCCTAATGTTTAAATTAAAATTGTATGCTCTTTCAACTAACACAATTGAAGCAATCTATAGTACAACTCATCAAATGTGTACTCCCCTCTCTGTTTCTTCATCCATAATAGTCTCTACGAATCATTTTAAACATGGTAATAAATAAAGCAACCTAGCAAAAGTATAGCTTGTTGGTCAACTATTCCTATTTTATTTCACCACATACTAGGTAGTAAGTTAGAGAATAATAAAGTGAGATGGAGCATAAAATGCACTCACAATGCAAAAAAAAAAAAGAAAAAAAAAGAAAAAAAAGAATAAAAATAAAAAAGAAAAGAAAAAAGAAAAGAAAAAACAAACAGTAGGACGGAGCATAAAATGCACCTACTAAAACAAATATTCAATAATTTACTAGCTAGTATGAGGGGGAATAAAAGAGAAACGGTTGATAACGGATATTTTTTTCTTGGTTGCATTATTTATTACAATGTTTAAAGTAGTTCATTGAGACTATTATGGCTAAAGAAAAAGAGAGAGGGGTTCACATGTGATGAATTTTACTTTAGGTTGCTTCAGTTGTGTTAGAGAAAGGAGCACACAGTTTTGGTTTAAACATTGGGAAACATGAGATTTTGGTATAAATTGAGCATATAATATTGAAAGGTGAAGTTGTTTGGAAATATTTTAGTGGCTGCAATCCTCTTGTCTTAATAGAAATTGTTTCAAAGCAGATCACTATTCTGTGATAATGTTCCAATCACTAATTTCATATTAGTACTATTATTTGCCGCAATGAAGGTCCTAAACAGGGCAGACACCCTTTGTTCAGGGTGTTTGGGCGAACACCCAAAGTTTTGAAAATAAAAATGTAAAAATACATGTATAGAATTGATGTAATAATTTATATGTAGTATATTATATTTTCTATATAACATTTTTTACCCTTATTTCCATCATTTGTAACGGAGCTAAAGATTCACTATTTTTTAGCTTGGAAATATGATGGAATAAAAGAAAGTGACTCACTAAACTGTCTGTGCTTCTTTATTATGAGGCATCAGTCAGCCAATGCAATTTTCGACGTGTTTTTCGCCTTGGGTCATCCGGAAACAGTCTCTTTGTGCTTTAGTACAAGGGTAAGACTGTGTACATCCGACTCCCTCATCGATGGTGGGAGCCTTTGCGGCACTGGGGTAATGATGATGATGTAATATTTTTTACTCTTAACACTTTTTGGGAGTTTTTTTTTGTTTTTGAAAAGAATACATTACTTCAATTGTGAGATCAAACATTATTATTGTGCAATATTTTAACTATGAAATTTTTTAACACCCAATTTCCGGTTGTAAGATCTGCCACAGGTCCTAACTCCTAAATCATATACTTTGGGATTAATAATACTTAAGTCATTCCTTCAAAAAAAATACTCTAAGTCATAGTATAAAATAATAATAGCAGCAGAGTGCTAAAAGTACGAAAAGGTCTAGTTTAATACACCCGCATCACTTTTGTTTTTTATTCATGTCTTTTGCTCAAAACTTTGCAGGGAATGGGTTGGAGAAGTGTCAAGTTTTATGAAGTCAGAAGACTTGCTCTAGTGGACCTTGAAGGAATTTATGATTTTATGGTTGAAAACGTTTACAATCGTAATTTTGTGGCTGCTACTGCTGATCATGGAACAGACTTCATCTCCGACAAGAAGCTGTCAACTGTGGATTTCAAGCAGCAGCTATGCATCAAGGATCTTAATAGCTGAAGACAAAAAGCTATGCTAAGAGATAGAAGAAGGGGGAGGAAATCATAGATTAGCTTTTCTTGTACTGCAAAACAGTATATGCTCTATATGGCACATACAATTGTATTATATACTGATCATTTATCCAATAAAATCTTCTTCCAGCATTTTATTTACACATTTTTCCTCATTCAGCTAATGGTTCCTTCTTTGAAGTTGAAAGAATATGCAAGACCATCTCTGCAAATCATAAGAAAATGGGAGTGACAACATTAAATCCAATGCCTTGAAATAGAACACTCATAAATAGTGACTAACTAAAAGTGAAAGTCTGTGAAACCAATACATAGAAAGCAAATTGAATGTTAAAGACATTGAACTCTTTGAATTTTCAGTTCTTCTAAGAGCCTCGAAGTCTAGTCTCTAGCTACCTAAGCTTTCTGTAGTATTTTGGAGTACATTGACTAGATCAAAAACTTATGGAATCAGAAGAAGCAATGAAAAATCAAAATTTATGAAAAGGAAGCAGATGGAGGGGGGATGGAGGGGAATAATGAAGCTTCTGAGTTTGAGACTTGAGTTTCCTAATACGAAAATGTGAGTTAGAACTGTGAGTTTCTTAATATGGAAATGTTAGTTTACACTTCAAGTCTATGTGTACTTGGTTTACTCGAAGAGGCAGAACGATTAGTTTCCTTATGTAAACTGTTCTAAACCAGCAAAGTATTGAGGATATTAAGAGATGATTGGGTTATAATTTAGAACCCATTTGATGATCTTTGTTTTTGACTTATCAAGAAAGTTTTTCACCAAATATGTAACTCTTAATCCCACGCGCTTACTTGTGTAGTAATTAACATAAACAAGGTTAAAGTTATTTTCTGGGTGAATTAGTTGAAGTCACTATAGAGGATTATTTTAGTATTTTATCATATATATTTTCTTAATTTCATTAATATAATATATTTTTTTAAATTTATATTTTTACATAATTCAACAGATTCAACCAATTCAACAAAAACTTCATCAGTTTCAACAAATTCAGCCGATTAGCTGATTCAACCAATTCCAATGTTACCAAATAGGCTCAAAAAGTTATGCAAGTGAAAGTAAAAAAAAAAAAGATGGTTCCATATGGATAGTAAGAGATTTTTGAGAGCAACTTGGGATTTGGGGTTAGTCTACATTGGGCCAAATTATCAAATCGATAAAAAACAGGGCAGTTTACCAAATTGGTAATAAAAAAAGCTCTGGTGCTAAATAGATCAAAATTTTGTGAGTGAGACATTTTTAGCCTCTGACTTTAGAATTCCCGACACTTAGTCCCTTAAATATTGTGAAATTGACATTTCCAGTTCTTCTATTATGATTTTGTCATGAAAGTGGATGCCTAAGAAGATCGGTGAGGGTACTTAACAATTAGAGGTTGACTGCTAGCCGACAGTTTGTTGAATCATCAGATTGATGCTAACAGGTTCTATTAGCTATTTTAACCAACCGCTTTCGATCATTAGTGATTTGAACTAAAATGTGTAGTAACTTAGATATTTGAGATTAGCGGTTAAGATAAGAATATGTATTTAAAAGTGTGTGTATTTAATTTAACTTTATTTCTTTTACTACGTATTTTGTTTAATAAGTTTTGGAAAAAGATTTTAAAAATTATAGTTTATTTTATTTTATATAACTGCTATCACTATCATTTTTAACACATGTAGATTTACACGAGCACACATATGCATTCATTTATTTTTAGTATTGATATTTTAAATATGACTATTTTATTAATTTTTTTAAAAATGTTATTCCATGTAAAATACAAAAAAAATCATACTGATAATATAGTAAAAATATTCATAGTGATAGATTTTATGGAGTAGAATTTTTTAAACACTAGTACAATTGATAGTTTTTAAATGTCGGAAATTCTAAAGTCGATGACTAAAATTGTCGCACTAACAAAAATTGTCCAATTTGTCATTAGAGCTTTACTTTTTTTACCACTTTGTGTCCAGAGTTTTTTTTATTAGCAATTTGATAAACCACCCTCTTTTGTTTTACTAATTTGATAATTTGACCGTCTACCTTGTATCCGAGTGCTATCAAACATAGCATTCATATTGTAGAATTCCCATATATTTTGAGATATTCCCTAACTTCAATATATAAAAATAAATAACTTACAGACGGAACTTTGAGACTTGTCTATTGCACGTATGTGAGTTCATTAATTACAATGGTATATGTGACCTAATGCAGGGGCGGATCTAGCATTTGCGTTGAGGGTGGGCCAAATTTTAATTAAATAACGTATATTGAAACAAATGTCAAAATGAAAAAAAGTAGTTAAATAATATTACAGAAATGTCAAAGAAAAAAAATATTACAGAACAGACAATTTAATTATTTTAAAAGTCGTAGATAACCCGAACTGAAATTGGCTCGGCTACTGAAATGTTCAATACTAATTTTAAAGTCAATTTCTCGAAAACCAGTTTTCTATTGACTCTATAGTATAGTCTCTTTAAAAAAATAAACTAATTAAACATCACTCACCAAGCACAATGAATTGAACTTATTAATTTTTCAAGTCAGTATTGAAAAGTTCAATGAATTGAATTAATAAATTTTTAAGACTAATATTCAAATGTCAAATGAATTAAACTAATCTCAAACCAATACTCTAAAGCACAATGAATTGAACTAATTAATTTTTCAGCCCAATATTAAAAAACCCAATGAATTGAACTAATTAATTTTTCAGCCCAATATTCAAAAACCCAATGCATTGACCTGATTAATATTTCATATCAATATTCAAAAGTCCAATTTATAAATTGATGAAGATCAAATGTATATAGATATGTGGAATAAAGAGATATTGGAAAGAAAGTTGAAAATTTTAAAATACTAATAAAAAAAAATCAGTACGTGTTGCACTAAAAAATTAAGTACCTAGGTTCAAACTCCAGACCTTATGGAGTTATGGTGCACCAAACACTCAATTCACTTCCATCAGGCCAACGTAACAAGTGTTAAATATTTGACTTTAGCTAGTATTATATCATATTAACTGAATCACTATATATAAATAAATACATAATATATATACTAGTAATTTTTATTTTTTTGAGTGTGGGCCTAGGCTCTCCCTGGCCTTAGCCTAGATCCGCCCCTGACCTAATGGGTATATGGACTCAAGTTATTATACTAACTAATAATGACACTACAGAATTTTTTGGGACCATCCGATCCATATTTCAGAGCCCTATGCGACTCAGATTGTGTACAAGGCTATATTTGCTGGAGGTCGACCCCGTTGTGTACTACTACTTCCGTCCCAGATTCTCTACAAGGCTATATTTGCCGGAGGTCGACCCCGTTGTGTACTACTACTTCCGTCCCACTAGCAATTATATAAGAAAGGGGAGATGTTGTGATATTGATTTGATAATAAAGAGAAGATAAAATAAAAATATTTTTGGACAACATAAATATTACAGTACTACGTACCAAATTTGGCATATAAACAGATGGGATTAAGAAAGATAAGAGAGAGATAATTTTGGATTAAGACCTTTTGTTACGGAGTAGAATTTGTCAATGTTACGGAAATTAAGTCAGAGGTCTTTTCAAAATTCAAAATACTCCGTATAGAAGTTTTGTTTGTCAATTGTCAGCATAATAACACCATTATCACGTGTTCTGAATATAACTCAGCCTCTCAAGCATCCTTATCACAGCAGAACTGGCTCTCAACTCTCAAGTGTATCTCCTCATAGAACTCTATCTCTCCGGCAATCCTACCATAGAATTGAACTCTCCCATGCATTAAAGCACATACAAATACTTGCTATTGTCTTGTCCTTCGACCAGTATTCTCAACAACTTAACATACATCTCGTTCTACTGTAATTGCTATCTGTAGTTGGAGAAGGATCACATCCGGCCGGTGAGGGTAGCCAGAATGGGGAGATCCGCACTACCCTTTATGACAGGCTTTCTTGTGCTGGTTCTGTGCTTCTTGGCAGCCATGGCAGAAGCTGAATACCTCAAGTACAAGGACTCTAAGCAGCCAATGGGTGTTAGGATCAGAGATTTGATGAAAAGGATGAGCCTTGAGGAGAAAATTGGGCAGATGACTCAGATTGAGAGGAATGTTGCCACTGCTGATGTTATGAAGCAATATTTCATTGGTATGCTAGCTTTTTATCACTCTTCATAGATTTAGTTCTTGACTTGTTGCTGACGATGGATGGGTATTTTTATTTTTAACTTTATTTTACTTGTACTTTTTTAAACTTTCTTTTTGGATGCCAAGAACACCTGTTCTTCTATTTTGGATAATAAAAAAGGAATCTTGTACATAAAACATAGTTGAAAACGTGGTTCTTAAAATCTTCATCCAGTCCCAATCAACCCCAACTTTAACTTTAGGCTCTTATATTGGGCTGGGCTTCTGTTTTATTTTCCTTAAACCCTCCTAGTTCACTTAAGTCCTGTATAATCCTGATTACCCCAGCTAATTTCATTGGTATGCATTTTTTTTGTCTTCCAAGATTTCAGTTTAGCTATGTCGTTCAATAAAAAATGGATCTTGGACATAATTGTATAAATATAGTCATAGAAACTATATGGCTAAAAATCTCAGTCTATCCTCAATCATTCTAGCAAAAAGTGAATATGATTATAACAACATTGATGAAAAAACAAATGAAGGATGGTACAATATAAATCTTAGGGTACTTCGATTTAGAACCTGGGCCTTAACAGGTCCTGTGTAATGCTGACTAAGTACTAACTCCTCTAATTACATTTATTCAGTTCCCTTCCAAGATTTCAAATCTGCAGGTGGTCTGGTATTTGTTTAATTTTTCAATGACAAGAGCAAAGGTCTTCCATTTTGAATAGCTCAGCTAAAATTATAATCTTGTCTATCAATATAGTTTTTCATTTAACACCCATACATATAGGCATATATATTGTTTCAAAAAACTTACTCTATCCCAATTAAACATGATAAAGATACTAAAGATCAATGTACTAGTGTGTGGGGCGTGTGTGTGTTGCTGGTTTAGTGGTTATGTTCTTAATATGATAGATTGTTATACAGATGGTTGTAATTTGAATTGACTTTAAATGTGATTAAAAGGGAAAGGGTTTGACTATTTTGATAGGGAGTGTATTGAGTGGAGGAGGAAGTGTGCCTGCACAAAATGCTAGAGCTGAAGATTGGGTGAACATGGTGAATGGGCTTCAGAAAGGGGCACTTTCTACCCGCCTTGGGATTCCTATGATATATGGAATTGATGCAGTTCATGGCCACAATAATGTCTACAATGCTACTATTTTTCCTCACAATATTGGGCTTGGTGTCACCAGGCAAGTACATTATTAACTTGAATGGAAATAAACTGTTTGCCAATCTAAGAAGATTTTAAATGTCCATCCAAAAAAATGTGTTTGAAAAACAATTTTGCTCCCCACCTGCCCCCCGCTCCCTCCAAAAAAAGACCATTTTTCTATTCAACCTGAATTTTGGTTGGTAGTATCGTTACTTTCCAAAGAACAAAAATAAGTTCAGGACTTCAGGAGATGTTATATTTAAAAACAAAAAGTACATCGATAATATTTGTATCATAGCATATTAGAATTACCATTTTTCAGATGCATGGCACACTTCAGTAAAAGTTGACTTCTTTTTGTTGATAATCAATACT